ACAATCTAAGTCTGCGATATAAAAAATACTCCGCGTTCGTTATATAGTATCAACAAACAATAAACTGTTAGTTTAGAGTTCACTGTTCACGCAATTATATCCAGAGAGTAGCACATGTTGATTGATTCCAGACTGTTTCTATTTCTAAAGCTGCTCTTCAATCAAACTTTCATCAGAATAATTAAATAGGCCGATCTTTCACAATATTGTGAGATATATACTACCATAAATATCAGTAATCCGAAATATTCGTATATGAGATAGTGAAACGCAGCTATTTATAAACCTAGGCAACTCGTAATGTTCAAATAACATACAAATTTTAGGTTTAGTTCATTTTACCCCTTCGTAGAAAGTCATTATGTGAGAAAAATAAAGTTGGAAACAGTCTCTTTAATCCTCATAGGATGAATTACCCCAGAAATCGGATATCCACTAATAGTTGTGATTGATATTAAATCAGATAGTATTATCAATAATGTATATTAAATGATGGTTAATGATATCAATATTCTGGTAGAGTGGTAAATATCTCAAGCCACACTGTCCGTGTATATAGACTTATGGACATAGACATTCACGTTAGAGTTACATGTACAAGGTACAATGAATATAATCTTCTAATCTTTCGCTTACAGTCTCAATAGGTGCAATACCTCTGAAAGGGATAGTAAACATATTTGGGTACACTTTGATATCTTGAAAAACGAAATATGACGTCACTATCGCAAAAACTCCACTTTATCATAATCTAGGTTTGAATTTTGTTCACTATCGGAACAATAATCGGATTGGTCCCGATACATAAAAAAGACAAGATAACCTCTTTACAATCCTGTATCATAACTGTTTTTTAACCAAATAAATATTTCAGAATCCCTTGGCCTGAAATACGTTTGAAGTATATACATGTAGGACCCAGTGCCAATTCAATCGCAGTTGCGATCTACCCGATTTGAACACATTACCCCCAAACTATTAAGTGCCTCATTTGTAGGATTAAAACTAATAACAAACCAACAAATTTTTACTTTATATAAATATCATTGGCATGTGTTTACATTGCAACGGAGTTTAGCGGCGTATTTACGAATCAAGTGGTTATCTGCTGAAATACAGTTTCCATTAGCTTCTAGTATACCTCTTGGCTCACACCGCCAAATATCACCCGTCGTTTCCTGCCAAGAACTCAACTTGGATTTCAAGCCATTTAAGATGTTGTAATAAGAAGGATCTTCAGCAAGGTTCACTAATTCAGATGGATCGGAAGTGACGTTAAACAGTTCAAATTCATGTCTAAAGTAATAGTCCTCAAGGAATCGAATCCAGCCTGTGTTAAGACCAGCTTCAGTGTTGTTTAGAAGCTCCATGAAAGTTGGAGAATTAAAAACATCCTCAGCCATGGGATATGGAGCCATATAGTTCAAGTTATGGATAAGTCGAAGGTCTTTGGTTCTAAGAACTCTCATTGGGTAGTACATGGTAGCTTCGTGGAGATTATGACTGGCAAAGACATGGCCATACCCCCCAGATTCTACATTAGACAAAGCCGGAAGTAGTGAGTTACCAGTGAGCTTGACGTTTTGACCAAAGAGTTTCCATGATGGGTACTGAATATCAAACCAGTCTAAAACCGTGGGTACCACATCTGTTGTGCTGACTAAAGCATCAGACTTCTACAATAAATAAAGCATAATTTCAACATATTTGTTCCATGAATTCCAATGCTTATTCTTTACTGGCCTTGGAGATGTTGAATATTATACAGTCTAGACTTCTTAGCGCAACCTGGTACACAAATGAACGTAACATTCTTGTACCCACCTCATCGAAAATTGCTCATCAATCCCCTGAATTAATTTTTCGTTTTCAAGC